TTAGCTCCGGTTTCAGAGTAACGCTTATGCGAAGTTTGCTGGCAGAGCTGGGAAAAACACTCTGTATGTGTATGCCTGGTCCAAAAAAAAAGTTGTCTCTCATCTGAAAAGTCCGACCAGTTTGGAAAGATATACCTCAAAAAAATAGATTTTGCACAAAGAACAGATATGAGTAGGTACCATATAAAATTCCGTGACAGGCTCTATATCAAAATTTTCATGACAGGGTTTTTCGGTGATTTTCATGACAACTTTTTTTCGGGCCAGGCTATCGTGTATGCACGTAGCAAATACCGATTGTTTATTCCAGCTCTGTTTGCTTGCAATTGACATTTCAATGCTCAGTAAAACGTCAATGCTGCTAATCACATTGACGTTTTAGACAAAAGCAACATAGGCGATTTCCGGGAGCCTTTGGCAAAATGCAGTTTTTTACCATATCTCATAAACTATTCAACTTTTTTCAACTCTGGCTTCGACAAAGTTGTTGCTAGGAGCACTACAAATAATTTTTATCAACACACCATACCCAGAAATCACATCTGATTAAATGATATCAGATGTTTTGGGTGGAAAATCCCACAGGGGTGTCATTACATTTTAAGAGCTTCTTCATCTGATTTTCTAATTCACTTGAAAAAGATAATAATAAAAGTAAAAAAAAAACAGGGTTATTCCAAGGCCGATTTAATGTTTTATTTGGTATCATTTTCTCATAAATTCAACACTTGATTCGAAACATCAACATTTATTGATGTTAAAGGACTTTCAGTTAAAATGTTGTATTTGAACATTTTCATTTCTACGTTATTTGAACATAAATTCGATTGTATTTCTTCATTAGTACTTGGTAACGATAAGCTATAATGTGCAGATTGCGAATGCGAATCATCACTCGAATCGGAACTGCTTTCCTCCGTTGCATCGCTTACTTCATCTATTTCGACTGCTATTGAGGATTCGTTATATCTATCTTTATCATCTACGCCATCATTATTTTTACCATTTAGTGCATCCGATCACATTTTCGAAAGCCTTTTTTCTAACTCGTCAAATGTTGGACGATTTTCTGGACTTTCCTCCCAACAAGACATCATAAGGTCATACCTATTTACAAACATTGAAATTATCCTTTGACGTTTCCTTGAAACTTCGTTCACGAAGTTTACTCTTTTATTCTTACATTTCTTCCGTAGCATTTTCTGGTTTTTCTAGTCGGATGTCATCTGATAAGTCTTCTTTTGAGATGTATTATGGACCATCTCCTTCTGAAAATAACTCCCAAAGCACGACACCAAACGACCAAACATCCGATTTTACACTGAATTTCAGTTCTCTTTCATCTGGATGTGTTTCAATGGCCATCCATGGAATTGGATCTGGAGCCTATAAATAAGAGAGATTGGCTTGACAGCCCATTTTCATTCAAAGGCATTGTTTATTTCTTGTCATTCATACCCATGATTCTTTTGTATAATAGTCCATTCCGTTCAATTTCCGTGACAGACCAAAATCACCAATTTTGACCGTTTTTTCTTCACAAAGCAATATGTTTCTAGCCGCTAGATCACGGTGTATGATGGGAGGGTCATTCGAAGTCAAAAATTTCAATCCTCTTGCCACTTGGATGGACCAGTCAAGCAGATCCGTTGTTGTGTATGGGAAACTGGGTGTTAGAGATGAAATGAAGGATGTGTCAGGAGTATTTTCTACGCAAAAGAAGCCAAATTTAGAAGAAATTCTACCAAAACACACAAAACGTTCCTTCTTTCATTTTTCTACCATAGCCCGGTGCTGTATTCGCTTCTTGACATGCGCTTTGAGTTTGTTTATTTTTCTTTAAGAAACTCCTGAGATCACCATATCGGCAGTAATCATAAACGATCATTATTTCGCCTGCGGAAAACCAATTATTCGATTGCTTTGCGAAAACATATTGTGTGTGTAAATTTACCTTCCAGAGGATTCTTAGTAACGGCTCCAATAAAACCAACAACATTGGGATGTTTGGGAAAACCTTGCACGAGTTTTAATCGGTTCAGTTAAAAACTAGTCCTATTCAAAAGAAATCAAAGATTAGTAATCAATAGCAAAAGATGAACACTCACCAAAACATACAATTGCATTTCCGCTAGAGCTTTTGACCGTTTTGATAACAACCTCTTTCTTTTTGGAACATCTTATCATTGGCAAAAGTTCCCCCTTATATATTTCACTGAAATTACCACGACCGATCCTATCTCCTTTATGCAGTCGATTGTGAAACTGAAGTGATGTGCGAATGTAATATGCAGGATGTCAATAAAATCAACAATAATCAAAAACAACACCAAAAGCTAAGGTATATTTTTAGTTGCAGGTATCACTACTGCTAGAATGAATAAAAAAAAACGTTATTTTAAACATATTTGTTCAAAAAAGATGCTTTTTTCAATGTAAGTATATTATTTGGATGATGTATAAAGAATTGTACTGCGCATTTTCTTCAGAAAGAGGAGAAATAATGGTGGAAAAGTCGGAATAAGTTTAGATGGAAATCAAAAAATAAAATTTAAGACGAAACTCAATCTCACAGACAAGATACGCGCATCAAAATATACTGGACCAAGTTAGTTTTCAAACTGATACTGTTTTCTGTGCTAACAGCTCTCATTCACCAACAAACTTACAAACCTTTAACTTGATTTACCTTCGGGTTAAACAGACCCAAGTGTTGTTTGTTTTATTCCATTATTGATATTCACGATACGTTTAGTAACAGTTTGAACGTGATCCACAAGTTCTGTTTTACAAAGGGATTGAAGTCAAACAATCGTTTTTCATTAAAAATAAAGAATGTAAACAATTACCTACCTTTCCAAGCTTGAGGGAAATCTGGCGTCAATCCAATACTACTACTAATAATTGTTGGCTTATTATCATTAAGCATTCCAACGGCATCCCAATGTTCCAGAATGCAAATGGAACCAAGTTCAATAGATTGTTTCTGATTTGAAATAATGATTTAGACAATTATGGGTCCAGTATGCATAGTGAAGGGGAGTCCAGCCATTGTTGTCCTTGGCATTGATGTAACAATTTTCACCAAGAAGAATTTAATGACGCTCAAATGCCCTTGAGTTGGAAATGGACCAAGGTTGAACGATTATCTGCTATTTAGAGCAAAAGTTCAGACAGTTACCATTGAATGCTGCATAGGTGGCGTCGACATTCTATTGTCGGTGACATTGACATCAGAGCCGAATTTAATAAGGAATTCTACGATATCCTCTTTTCCTCATTCGCAAACGAAAAACAAACGATTATTTTTTATTTAAAGAAAGAAGAATCTGGATAATCACCAAGAACAGCTGCATAGTGAAGTTCCGTCGAGTTTTCTTTATCCATACGATTGGCGACGGCGCTGTGATCGGTAAGCAATTGAACGATTTTCAAATGTTCTAATTAAATAAAAGATTAATTGAATTTTAAAGTCGAAAGATTGATGGTGTCCTTCCCTCATTATTCACAGCATTGATGGTAGCTCCAAGATTGATGAGCACTTCAACAATATTCGTTTTTCCTGAATTGGGAACGGATTCAAGTTGAATGATTGTTTGCGATTTGAAGCAAAAATTTGGGCAATCACCTTGATCAACTGCATCGTTCAGCGGTGTCCATACATATTTGTCCATAGCATTGATGTTAGCTCCATGATTAATAAGCACTTCAACAGCTTTCGCATTTTCTGAATTGTAAATGAATCAAACTAGAAGAGACGCTTCGGTGTTGTTATGTGAATTCAGGTAATTACCATACGCTATTACCATGTATTGCTGAAACCCCAACTTCGTCAAGTGCATCGAGATCGGCACCATGTTGAATGAGGAATTTAATGATGTCGGAATTGCCTAATTTACGGATGAAATTTCAAAAATTAAAAAAAATATTTTAGTTTCATCATAAGCATCTGGGCCATTACCGTTATATACAGCCTTAAAAAGTACGGTATCATTCCGTCTATCTCTTGCATTGACATTAGCTCCGAGTTTGACGAGGAGTTTAACGGCATCCATATTACCTGGATTGAAAGTTGATCGAAAAATGTTCAATCGTACGCAAAAAATTCGTTTTAGGGTGAAATTAAATGACAATTACCACGCATAGCGGCTCTGTGAAGCGGTGTAAGATTATCACAATCGGTTGCATCGACGGAGCCTTGTTCAATGAGGCTTTCGAGCTCAGCTGTCACGTTATTGACATATTAATTATTATTAGTATGGTAAATTTTGGTTATTATTAATATTATAAGTCTATATAAGCGGAGATTCACATACCTTCTGTAAAATAAACTGTTATCCAGATTAAGACAATGATTTCTCGCGGCATGTGACGGCAATCTATCAATTCGAATGGAATTGTAGCACCTAACGCTTCACTTCGCAATGAACAAAAGATTAAATACAAAACCTCCTTTAAAATTTAGAAATAATTTTTTTCAATAAATTTTTTATTTCGTAATTCTCTACTAAGCAGCATGAACAAAATGAGCTATGTTGATTTAAGATTGAGTGAGCAGCCGACACCCTAGCAGCCATCACCAAAATATTGTTGTACTGTGTTAGTTATCAAACAACAAATTTTATATCAATATTGTACAAAAAATTAAATATTCAGCCAATGATTCGCGGTGTAATTAGTGATGAATAAATTAATGAATTCGGTTATTTCTATGTCAATTTTTGATTGTTTGTCGCTTTTGTTTCTGTTCAATTTGACAAAAAAATCTGAACTAAATGTAACAAAACAATCAATAAAATTAAAATTACCTTCATTGAAATGGTCGAATTGAGAAAATAATTCTGACAAAATTAGCAATATATCTGACAAAATGGATAGGAAAATGACACTTTTGGCAATAAATTTGACAATAGCAAGCACTAAATAAATAAATTTACGTCAAATTTATTGCAAAAAATGTCAATTTTATACCCAATTTGTCAGATTTATTTTCAAATTTGGCAATTCTATTACCTATATTGTCAAAATTATTTTCTCAATCTGGCAATTTCGTTGGACGTAATGTTGATTTTATTGATTGTTTTATTACATTTTATTTCGATTTGTTGTCGATTTTGTTGAATTTTTTTGTCAATTTTATTGCCGTTTTGTCATCTTTATTGGCGATTTGTAAATTTTAAAGGAGGATCCGTAATGAGCCATGAACAAAACACAATGCTCACAATGTTTTTCAACCGACAGACTGCATCTGATTAAACCATGAATTTCTGATTATGCGCTAATTATATCGCTGTATTTGCGAAAGCTAATTTAGTGTCAGATCAGCTTAATTACATCAAGTAGTTGAGTGATTGCTGCACCTGATAAGAAAAACACATTCATTTTTTTCCAGATCGATTGTTGAACTGAGCTAAAGTTAGAAGAGAAACGTTTCTTGGAAAATATTTTTCTTGAAAAGTTTATTAAAATATTTGAGTACAATTTTCTTAGAATAAAATTTCATTTATAGAAAATGTTTTGGAAATTATGTTGTTTTTTCTTCTGTTTAATATTTTCTTTATAGGTTGCCTGTGATATAGCTCATATTAAAAAATACTTTTTGATGTTGGATCTAAAGTTTTGTAATGGATGAAATCAAATTCGTCCCAAAAAGAACTAAAATTTTCGTAATATAGGAAAGGATTTTCTTTCTTATGTTCATATTGATTTTCTAATTCTGTTGAGATTTCTCTTGGCAACCAATTTCGTTGATCACTCTACTTGCATCGCATCATCTTCGGTGAAAACTTTGTAGCCACGTACCAGAATCGATGAAGCGTGTGAAACTTTCGGTAATATTTGATGATGGACTTTGATTAAATTAATGGCAAAATCAGCTGGACTCTCTTTGAATTTGCATTTTTCTACACAGTTGGAAATTGCTTCCGAATATTTCCGCTTTTTTGGTGGCACAAAACCATTTTCTTTAATGATTTTTTCTTCGAATGCGATTTGTTGTTCGGCAGTACGTGGTCTTGGGATCAAACCCAAGAATCCACAGTATGCATTTTGTTCTGTTTCGTTTTTAAAATACATTGATCCTGAGAATACGCCAATTTGAACCTCATCTTCAATGTCGATGGCACTTGGTGTCGTGCTTCCCGTCACTTGTAGTTTTTGCTCGTGAAGTAAATTGCTGTGAAGTTTGCTCAATCGAGGACGGTACATAAACAGAGCTGCATTGGTGGTTCGTCGAAAGGCTGGCAAAAGCTGATTGCATTCGAATGAACTTAAAAGAATCAGGATATTCTCTGTATTATGACTTTTAATTTGCGCAATCCACCAGATGGGTCGTAAAAATTCATCATACGACTGCGATGAACCGTGAAGCACCGTTTGAAAATCTCTTGTGACAAATAAATGGTTGGACCAAGCGGCTGCATTCTGTTTGCAAAATTCGTATAGTTGTGTGTTGGCCAGGCTTGCGGCAATCGAAAGTAATACATTTTCTTCTATCATAGTGCTGATCAAAGCCGAATTCGCACCATTAACCACCAATTGCTCCAATCTCTTGTCAAACCATGGGTCGGCTGGTTTAGAATCTGGCGGGCGTTCCATTTGTGTTTGCTCCTCAACCTCTTGTTCGAGCTCTTTCTCTTGTTCTTCATCGAGAGCGTGCGTGAATCGCTTCACATCCGAAGCGAAATACTTCAGTTTTTCATCGACATCATCTTGCATATCACGAACAAACGGTCTGACTGTTCGATCAACACCACTACCGCCAAGTTTATCGAACTTTTTCCATGCAATGTCAATCAGTTTGGCTTCTTCTTTTTCGCCGTACATTTCG